ATCTGGTAACTGAATTTTTCCCATAAAATAATATCAGAAGTAAATCCAAATTTTTTCTTTACTTTTTAACCACATATTTCATTAATCTACTATTTCAAATTACATTAGGCTCTAACATGCTCTAATCCTTCCATCCATAAATTTATATGGTACATCATACAGCTGTGTTCAATTAAAAATTTGTATTTTGTACAATGCGTACAATACATAATTTTAAGGCTTAAATTCGATATTTTTGTTTCGATTGAATTAAGTTTTGATGCGTATTTGATTAATATAATAATAATTAAAACAAAACTCTGAATTCATTCCATCTTGAAAAATTCACAACTTCGTCAATCAATGCGGTTCAAATAATGATGGCAATATTTGTTATTAAAACAATCTTTTTGAGAAAGTTTCAAGTGAGAACTGAAACCACTCAATTTGAATCGAGTATTGCAGCACAATTACTTCCAAGGCTCTTTCATGTAAACTTCGAAACGGCGAGCCATGGAGCCGGAGGGATTCGGAATGGGAGCAGAGTACAGGTCTTCCAAAATTCGTGGCTGACAACATCCCTATTCACTTTTACCAGTATTTTGAAAACATGGCACCCACAATTACTTTTCAACTTGTATCAAAATCTTAAAATTCTAATTTTCATTCAAATATACTGAGAAAATCTGAATATCGAAGGCACGTGCTAAAACGTCGGATCACAACTCAAAGCGGCGGCATTGAACGGCTCGTGAATCAAGTTGGCATGAATTTGAGTCACTTGATGAATCATCTTAAGCTTGAGTCACAAGGTTTTTTACCTTTCGAAGAACTATTAAACAGAAAAACAGAAAAACAAAATTAATCGGGAAATAGATATGAGCCACGACGCTCAAAACCTTCTCATTTGTAATTGAGAAAAGCCCTCTCAGACATCGCGGCTCCAATTATGTATAGCTTATGATCTTGTTAAGTGCTGCTGTATAAAAAACTTAACAGCACTAGACCGTCTATAAGCACAATTGTTTCGATTTTTCGATCATTTTTCGATAAAAAAAAGTAGATCAATTGTGAATTGAATTTATTATATGAAAAGACAATGTATTTCTCATGGCCATTCCCAACTCGTAATTGCAGAGATTCTGCTACACAGGGCGATAGGATATGAGAACGCCCCCTTCGGAAAAAAATGGGATTCAACCCCTCAACACGAGATTAAGAGGATGCCTCAACCACCGACTCAACGAAGAGGGCTTTTTTTGCGACGATTTTCGATTCACTTGGGTCATACGAGCACCTTTGTTATTCAGCTCGCCTCAATTTTAAGTGAAATCGTCGCACACTACAGACCAGAAAATTCAACACACGGATAAAACCAAAGAGGAAAAGAAATTTACTCAAATTCAACTCATCAATCAAGCAAGAGAGGAGAATAAACTGGAAAGAATGGATTAGAATTGATCATTGCTGCGGCCGAGGCCAATACAAAACCCTAATTGTTGTATACACCGGTTGATGAAATTCCATGTGATGGTGTATTTATACAGCTTCTTGATTGCATTGTGGCCGTTGGATGTGAAGATGCCCGAAATTTAGTGCCGCTGCGCTGAACCCTAGTCAGCAGTTCAGTCCATGGAGAATTAGGCTTTCGCCAGCCCAGCCCAACTTCAATTGCAATAGAGTATGTTCGCCTTCCGTTATAATCTAGCTCAAAGTCAAATTTTAAAGTTTGTTCATAATTTTTTTAAAAACTTTGTGATTAAAAAGTAGAAAAAAATTTATGAATCTCGTAGAATGTATGGTTGATAGTGGTTTGAATTGAGAAAAAAATGATTTTAAAAATCTTTGTCAAACAAATTTTAATTTTAACCCACACACATTCGAAGACATTTTTTTGTAGATTTTGATAGAATGTGAATTCAAAACAGAAAATTAAAATACAATCCAAATAAATCTTTTTTGGCTAAGGCCTTCACTTTGAAAGTACGTAAGGGTCTAAGGAGCAAAATTACATGAATAAATGAAAACATCAATTCCATGTACCATAAAATATGAATAGAGGAAAAAGCTAGTCGATTTATGCTTTCATGCAAATACTAGCCTCGTACCAATTTCTCTTCCAAAAAAATTGCGATTCAAAAGGAACATACGCGTTTAATGTTTATAGCACATTATTCTCCAAAGACTGATTCTTTATTCATACAACATAGGTTCCAATTCATGGTCTCTAGTTTAGAATTTGTTGTAGAAGTCGACTATGTGACAACTGACTTCCTCTGCCTTTTCTTTGTTAAGAAAGTGTGCTACTCCTCCCATCACTATCGCTTCTTCTAATAATGGAACTTCTTTCTTGCCACTATTGGAAAAAAATGAGGTAATGACTAATTTTGGCATAAATTTTAAGTGGGATCCGTTTGCTTATTTTGAAATATCAACATTGATTTGTGTTCTCCTCCGCGAGAACATCAAAATCATGTATTTACTTGTAAAAAATGAAGCCCGGGTGAATAAGAAATTGGAGTTCAAAGTGGACCATTGGAATATGATTTATGTTGAAGGGAAAACTAAATTTGAGTTTATCCCACATAATGGACCTGGACGAATATTATTCAGTGAGTTATTGTCTAAACAGTGAATTGTATATACGGTCTAATACGGTATGTTAAGTGCATATACATTAAGCTGTATATCCAATATGTATTATAAATTCGGTATTTGTTAAACCGATATTCATTCACGTTTATTTTTTCTAACAGAAACCATCGTTGTGCGTGTTCTCCTTCACTCCCGGAAAGTGGTAGGCCAAGTCCATGTCACCCTTGACAAATTTAACATGTACTTTTAATTGCGATCCTATCCATGGTGCTGAGAGCTCCCAGTTTCTGAAACAATTGAAAAATTCAAATTTAGC